CGAGATCTGACCCCAGGACTCCCAACTGGTCGGGTTTAGGGTTTGGTTAGGGTTTAGGGTTTGGGCTCAGGGTTTAGGGTTCAGGGCTTAGGGTTTAGGGTTTAGGGTTCAGGGCTTAGGGTTCAGGGCTTTGGGTTTAGGGTTCAGGGCTTAGGGTTCAGGGTTTGGGGTTCAGGGTTCAGGGTTTAGGATTCAGGGTTCAGAGTTTAGGGTTCAGGGTTCAGGGTTTAGGGTTCAGGGTTTAGGGGTTCAGGGTTTAGAGTTCAGGGTTTAGGGGTTCAGGATTTAGGGTTTAGCCACTCCACTTCTAAATCTTTACCCTAACCAGCGCCCACCGAAATAGATGTTTTCAGTCGGGTTCGTAGTGTTTGCGATCAACAGCAGTCGCCGTCGTCGGCAGCGTCGTAGCTAAACGTTATAGTCGGCCTTGAATCCGCGAGCGTGTAGAGTGCAAAGAGCTCATAAGATGGTCGATCTGCTGGACTCAGCTCGCCTCAAGAAAACAATTTCACGGGTGATGACCGACATTGTAGGCAGGCTGCCTTTAGTTCTCTGCCTTGGTTTACCCTAAACCCTAAACCCTCAACCCCTAAACCCTAAACCCTAAACCCCTAAACTCTAAACCCCTAAACCCTAAACCCTAAACCCTAAACAGAACTGAGCCCCCAACCATCGGCGAGCTGACTTGGTGTGCAGGCTCAAGAGGCCAAGCCTCGAACCTACACGGGGTTTAGGGTTTAGGATTTAGGGTTTAGGGTTTAGGGTTTAGGATTTAGGGTTGCGATTCGAAGCTCCTAAACCCGAAACCCTAAACCCTAAATAGACCCTAAACGGGGCGTGCTGGGCTTTGGGTTTCTAGGTTCACTTATTGTCTAGGGCCGTTGGGGGCCAGGGGCAGGGGTTTAGATGGGTCCTTGCACGGTCCCCAGGGACTCCAATACCCCCTAGTTAAGGAGTATACCTCAAATTAAAAGTCGGATCCCAAAAATGATTTAAGGTATATTCCTTAATTAAGGGTTATACCTTAAATGAATCCTACTATTTTAGTCTTATAGGGCCAGGGTTTCTTAATCAGGTTCCTACAGTATTTATTTTTGGCTCACCATGGAAAGTGTCCCTGGAAGATCCTAGGTTCTTTAGGGCGTGTAGGGTTTAGGGTTTAGGGTTTAGGGTTTAAGGTTTGGGGTTTAGGGTTTAGGGTTAGAGGTTTAGGGTTCAGGGTTTGAGGTTTAGGGTTTGGGGTTTAATGTTTGGGGTTTAGGGTTTAAGGGTTTAAGGTTCAGGGTTGTGGTGTCGTGTTTAGGGCTTAGGGGGTTGTCGTTGTTTCTCAGCCGTAAGCTTGACACCTTGTTTTCGCTCCCGCCAAAGCCTACGTCCAACCTCCGCTTGCATCATGTCGATTTCTGTGGAAGTCCGGTTGACGAGTGGCAAGACGGCTACGGTCAAAGTGGGTGCGGCTAGGTGGAGCTTCGGGACACTTTTTCATTTCCCTTATCGTTCGTTAGAGGTAGCTTTGCATGATTACTTTTGGAAGCCGTCAAAGTACAACACAGGTGAATGGAAAAGTGGCAACGTTGAAACGTCAGGCACAGGTTGCCCTTGGAGTAGGCAACGGACAGCTGGTGGATGGGTCTGGAAACATTCTCGATGCAGATGCACCCATCAAGCACGCGAAGCTGACAGACGGTGATTCACTGACCTTCCAGCTCAGCCCACTTCAGATTCGTGCCTCTTCCGATGCCTTTGCTGCCATTCTGAGGGATGGATCTGTAGTCACCTGGGGCCAAGCTCTCCGTGTCAGAAACTTAGTTCCCCAAGGCCCAATCTTTAAACTTTTTGGGTTCTTATAATTTAGCAGTAATCTGAAAGTTTAACCTTTTATTTCCCTGGCTTATTGGGGAAGTAAGGAAAGGCTGTGCAGGATCAGCTGAAGAATGTGCAGCAGATCCAGGCCACTGACCACGCGTTTGCTGCTATTCTTCTGGACGGATCCGTCGTTGCCTGGGGTGATGCGCGAAAGGGTGGTGACAGTGGTGCTGTGCAGGATCAGCTGAAGAATGTGCAGCAGATCCAAGCCGCTGAAGTTGCTTTTGCTGCCATTCTTGGTGACGGATCCGTCGTGACCTGGGGTGATGAGCGCAGGGAGGTGACAGTGGTGCTGTGCAGGACCAGCTGAAGAATGTGCAGCAGATCCAGGCCACTGACCATGCTTTTGCCGCTATTCTTCGTGACGGATCCGTAGTTACCTGGGGTGATGCGCAAAAGGGTGGTGACAGTACTGCTGTGCAGGATCAGCTGAAGAATGTGCAGCAGATCCAGGCCACTGACCACGCGTGTGCTGCTATTCTTCTAGACGGATCCGTCGTGACCTGGGGTGATGAGCGCAGGGAGGTGACAGTGGTGCTGGGCAGGATCAGCTGAAGAATGTGCAGCAGATCCAAGCCACTACGTGCGCTTTTGCTGCTATTCATGGCGATGGATTGGTCGTGACCTGGGGTGATGCTGCCTGGGGCGGTGACAGCGGCGCTGTGCAGGACCAGCTGAAGAATGTGCGGCGGATCCAGGCCACTGACCACGCTTTTGCCGCTATTCTTCGTGACGGATCCGTCGTGACCTGGGGTGATGCGCGCAAGGGTGGTGGCAGTGGTGCTGTGCAGGATGAGCTGAAGAATGTGCAACACATCCAAGCCACTACGTGCGCTTTCGCTGCTATTCTTGGCGATGGATCTGTCGTGACCTGGGGTGATGCTGCCTGGGGCGGTTACAGTGGTGCTGTGCAGGATGAGCTGAGCAATGTTCACCAGATCCAAGCCAATCGATTCGCTTTTGCTGCCATTCTTGGCGATGGATCTGTCGTTAGCTGGGGCGTTGCTAGCTCCGGCGGTGACAGCACTGCTGTGCAGGATCAGCTGAAGAATGTGCAGCAGATCCAAGCCATTGACTCGGCTTTTGCTGCCATCCTTGGCGATGGATCCGTTGTGCACTGGGGTTCTAGAATGTCTGCCCCCAGCCGTGCTGTGCGGATGCTTTTGGCAAATGTGTAGCTTCGTTCTGTGAGATTCCAGGCACTACCAGCACAGAACAAGATCGGCGCATGCACTTTGCAAAGGCGCATACCCTAAATCCTAAACCCCTGAACCCTACACCCCCTAAGCTCTATAAGGCCTAAACCCCCCTAAACACCATTCAGGTGCTCAAAGGCTGTGTGTCCTATTTAGGGTTAAGGGTTCAGGGTTCAGGGTTCAGGGTAGTTTAGGGTTTGGGGGGTCATAAGGTTCCTGTAAGGGGCTCCTTGAACGGTTCGGCGAGGGATCCTGTAAGGGGTTCTGCGAGGGTCTGGGGTTTGAGGGTCAACCCTAAACCCTAAACCCTCAACCCTAAGCCCTAAACCCTGTACCCTCAAGTAAAGGGGTTTGGGGCTTCGGGGCTTGGGGTTTGGAGGCTTAGGGTCTAAGCATTCAACAGTCAGGGTTCTCGGTTTATCGCGCTAGCGTTCAATATTCCAGCGGTTTCAGGTTCAGGTTTTGGTGTTACAATATACCCATAGGCCCCATAGTAGTTCCTTTTGGGGGTTCACATTTCCTATTAGGTAATCCCAAAAAGGAACTACTATGGGGTTTATGGG